AAAATGATCTTCACTTGAAATACCAGCTGTAAATACCACCCAGGCCACTGTAACGTTCCCAATATAACCTCAGCGCTCAGCCAACTGGAAGGGTCCGGTCAGTGGCCTTCTGTCTGGGCTGTTGGGGAAAGTGACGGGCAACCCTCTCTGCTCCCTTTTTCTTCGTATTTATCAGGCATTTAAATGGATACCCTGAAGAAAGACGAAGATTCGGAGGAAGTGGAAATTGATCTGGGGGACTCCAGTGACCTTGAAGAGTCTGAAGATGGGGAGGAACCGCAGACGTTATGGAGAGCCCAACCCTCTCTGGATGAGGAGGAAAACATTCACACATCCACTCTGGTGGAAATCAGTGATACAAAACCACTGATTACTTCACGGGACGCCCGAGGTATCAATGACTGCCTCAAGGTAAAACAATCTTGCAGTAGCTTAGTAAAGATTTTATGATTTTTGTATTCGTAATTTGATAAAAAAAAACCTCCATAAACAGTGCATTTTCCCTAGCTTATAAAGCGCTTCATCAGCGTTAACTGTTCATGATGACTGAATTAGTCCTTTTGACTCAAAGGTAGGGTTTGAGGATGTGATAGCTGAGCCGCCATCAGTGCGCAGCGGGGACAGAGTTTGGATCTGGAGCAATGCTCTGTTTGAAGTGTCCAGGGTCTGGATTTACAGGATAGTCACCGCTCTGCTGGCCCTTCCCATGTCAGCTATCTCTGGCCTTTTGTTTGGCCTCCTCAGCTGCTTCCACGTTTGGTAGGTTGATTTATTTATTTTTTTTCTGCTTCATTTAAGAAATTGTTTTATCGGTGTAACTTTTCAAAATAAAGCAAATCAAAAAATTGTGAAAAAAATGTGAAAAAGTATTTTCCCCCGTGTTCCTATTTTTTGCACTAACGCTCAAGATTATTAAAATAACTAAAAGACAAACAATATCTGAATAATGGTTTTTGATTTATTTATCAATAGATTAAATTATCATTTGAAAACTACTAATTCAGTTTGTTTTGGTTTTTCATTTTTGGAAAACGTTTAAATGCGATAAAAGAAAAAAAAAATGCATGGAGGCAGATACTTCCACACAGCACTGTAAAGCGGATGTTTAATTTGAGGTTTCTAAGGTTTACTTTTCAACATAAACGATATCTGGATGTTTCCAGCTGACCTATGTAATGTCTGTGTTTTCCTTTTCTGCGACAGGATGGTTCGCCCCTGTATTCGTTGTGTCCTCATCGGTAACCGCTGGATACAGAGCTTCTGGGACGTCATGCTGCACATTGTTGTGGTCCCTTTCCTAACGAGTGCAGGAAAATGTTGTGGAGGTTTAGGTATACACCTGGCCAAAGAATGACCCGAGAGGCTGGCTGGACGTGTTGATGATGTGGACAAAGTTCTGTTCATCTGGACTGAAACATAAGCAGCACTGACTTTTGACTGTTTAATAAAAATAATATATACTGTGTCTGGGGAAAAAAAAAAAAAAAGTATTCATACCCCTTGAACTTTTTCTCACTTTGTGTTTTTACAACACACTTGGATGAATTTAATATTGATTTTGTGCTATAGAGCATTTAATACATATCTGAAAAGTGTGGTGTGTGTATTTAGACCTATGAGTCAACGGTTTGTACAATCACCTCCAGCTAAAATCCTAGTGGCTAGTCTAGGTTGGTACATCCTCTTTCTTATCTTCCCATTCATCCCTACAGCATGATGCTGCCACCACTTTGGTGATGGTACGCGTTGGGTGAGGTACAGTTTAAGTCTTTTCTCATATTGTGGAAAGCTAGGCCATTAAGATCCATTTTTGGTCTCATTTGGCCCAAATCAGGTCTTCTGCTTGTTTTCTGTGTCACCTACATGGCTTGTTGCAACCTGCAAACATTTCTTCTTTTGATTTTCTTATTGCCACTCTTCCATAAAGTGCAAACCAACTTGTTTACCTGTCAGCCAATTCTCCTATACCCATGACCTGGTTCTCTGCAGCTCCTCCAGAGTCACTAATGTAGATCATCAGCATCGATAATGAGATTACATCACACACACATACACACACAGTTGGAGTATTTAGATTAGACTTCTGAAGAAGTTAGTTGCATGTGATTTCATTTAGAAGTGTCGGAGTAAAGGGGGTTGTGTAAAGATCTGCTCAGCACTTTTCAGATTTTATTTGTTAAAACATAGCTAGGAACTTGTAAATGACTTTTACTTAGATTTTAAACTATGTTAAGCATAAGTGACATAAAATCTCAGTGAGACTAATTTAGTGGAGTTCGTGTGACAAAATATAAAAGATCAAAGGATAATAATTTGGCAAGGCATTATACGTTTTTTCAGCGAAATACCTGAGAATGTGAAAAAAAATCTTTTTAGAGCTTTGTGTAGTTTATGCACTGATGTAATCCCTAAAAATCATGCCCACAGTCTGAAATCATTTTGATGACTCTTTGTATGAGACAGGCTGTACTTTTCCCTTTCTGACATTAAAGCGGAGGTTCCAGTTATCGCATTTTTCGTTTTTAAGCGTTTATAAACAATGTTCATTTATCTTTGGTTACATGATTGCATGAGTCGCCTCCACCCAATCTGAAAAAACTCCCTAATTTATGTTCCTCATCAGCGAGATTTTCCACCAAAGTTTACAGTCTTTAAGGATCGTGATGTTTTGGAGTCATACCCCAAACGTGTGCATAATTATGTGCTGTCATGACCGAACATTGATGAGAACTAAACAGCAATTGGTTTCTTCATTGTGAAAATGGTTTCTGTAACAACCCAGACATCTAATGACATCCAGGATCCTTGAAGAAGCCTGAATAAGTAGATGAAAGATTATTTTATCTACAAGAAGCATTTGGAGCTAGTCAGTGAATTATCAGCATTAATATCTTTTTGAGCACTTTTAAAGGGAGACTTCACAATAAATCTCGAAATATAATGTCATTTAATTAGCGTTTTTTCATTGTCCCCCCCACAAAAAGTGACTTTTTTATGCGTCATGGATTATCTTGCAGTGCAGTCCCTCTTTAATTTCAGTCTTCTGATGGAAAAGTGTGAGAACATTCTGCAGATTTCCAAGTTGAAAACACACAAGTACCATAATTATAAAGTTTAGAGATAAAAACTGCTTCAGTGACTGCTCTTCATTGTCGCTCTTCTCCATCCACTGGCTTGTATTAACTGATTCTGACAGCTTCAATACCTTCTACAGTGCAGAAAATAGAGAAAATAAAGAAAAATCAGAGAACAAGAAGGTGTGCTCAAGGTACTGTATCCAGTTTCTCATTTTATGTAAGTTTGTCAGCAGGGCCTTGTCCTGAGATTAAACTGTTGCTTTCAGCTGTTCAGACTGGTATTTCCTATGGAAGCTTGTTATTGTTGATACACAGGATTTCCCACATTCTGCAGCTGATAGAATACCGCGGGGATCGGCATTCAAACCAGGGTGCCTGACTTTATCGTGACAGAAATAATCTTTACATAAATGCGTGTATTTCACAGAAACTTATGATTTATGAAGTCCTTTCTTATCCATCTGTCATATTGTGTTTTAATTGCGGAGCTAGACAAAGTCCTCCAATCTAACCCTTTAACCAATCTATTGAGTAGAATAACTCCATGTTTGAACATTTGAACAAGAAAACAGTTCCAGCCTGGAGATAGTCATATTTACAGGAACAGATAGTTTACATTCTCCGTCTTTCTCAAGCCTGGGGAATGGGGTCAAGGAAAGCTACAGAATACATTTAAGGCTGTCTGAAGTGACTCATCTCCTGTTTTATTACAAGTTTCCTTATGACGCATTTATCAGCGTCCTCTGATCACTCATTTCCTGAAAGCTGCTGACTTCAGAGACTAAGGCTATGTTCACACTGCAGCCTGAAGTGGCCCAAATCCAATTTTTTTTTTCCATTATATGTGACCTGTACCAAGCGAAACAACAACAAAAACTGATTTAACAAAAAGCTGGGAATGAGCATTAATCTCTGCAGTGTGAACATAACCCATATCAAGAGAAACAGAACTAAAGAATCACCAAACTGAACCAGAACCAACAGTCTTACAGTCTCTGAGTCCTTGTGTCAGGAATCACAGGTGTGGTGCCAAGATTTTGTTGAGTTGAGAAATATAAAATACAGCTCTTGGACTTGGATGAGCAGAAGTCTTAATCACTTCCATTAGTGAGATAAAAGTTGACTCCAGACCAAAGCAAGATGCTCAGTTCTTCTTTTTTTTTGGCTTCTGGTGTTGGGAGAGAAAAGATCAAAGGCAGTTCTGAAATCTTTAATGTCTCTGTTTTTATTTGCTCCTCCTCTCTGCTCTTAAATTCTGTCATCTATTAGAACACAAAAATATGGGCTGTAAAATGTGTTTTCTTTAAATTATTGAGAGACAAGCAACTTATAGGAAAGTTAGACTTAAACTAAAATAACTATTTTATTGTTGAATTTCTTAACAAAAACACACCCTCTTAACTTTTATTAGTATTTTTCTTTTGTCTCTGTGTAATTTTCAATGTTTTCTCAACAATAGAAAAATTATTGATTATATTGTAGATCATTTTTGTGATACTAAATACATTTAATCTAAAATATACACAGAACCTCCGTGCCCTATTGAATATGAAATAATATTTGGTTAGTGGGAAGGAATCAATCCTTTCGGCTAAATAGTTTTATGAATTATGAAAGCGATTGATTTGTTTTTATCACATAGCTTAAAATAGCTTATTAATGGTAAAATAAAATATCATTATTCTCATTTAAAGACGACATAAGTGTGTGAATATTTCTGAAAGGACATCATCAAAAACTCATTGTCAGAGCTCTATACACAGTAAAAAGGAAACCAGTTAAACAAGCAAGTTAAAATGGATTTTATTATGTTGAAAGATTAAGATTAAATCCAATGTTAAATATCTTTCAGTTGTGAAATCACGAAAGTGTTTTTGTTTTTCTTGCATCTGCACTTAAACCAACCTCACACAATATTGCACATTTAATGTACAAAGAATCATGTTTATTAGGTGTGTTTGAAGTTTCTTAAAATATGCATGTAGAGTGAAAAAAAAGAAAAGGAAAAAAAAAAACTGAGTCAGACAAGATAGAGATAAACAAATCCACAGTGTATTCTTTTGCTCTCGTAAGTTACAAATTAAGATCTAAAGTAGGCAAATTGTGCACTTTTTAAAAAGATGACACAATTTTCTGGTGGAAATATTTAATAAGAACCAACAAACATCTCCAACTTTTATCAGCAATCCTGCCCCGATGTGTTAGAGCAGAGATGCATCCAAAAGTTGCAGGATAGTGGCACTCAAGGACTGGAGTTGCTGACCCCCGATTTAATGTATGTGATTGGTGCTGATCAAAATAACACATAAGTGGAGAAACAGAATTCGTAATTGCTTTTAGGAGCTGGATTGAGCCACTCTACGTCTCTCTTCCAATGTTGTCCATAATTTGGGATAATTCCTTCAGCACTGAGCTACAATCCAAGTACACTTTTGTCACAAATTGTAGTCAGAACCATTTTACGGCAGTAATTCTGGCTTGAAACGGGAGTGGAAGCTCAGTTATTTCAACAGGGTCTGGACATATGGGCTTGTCTCACTATTTTAAGGAAAATTTGGTCACTGACATGCAGCTCATAAGCACTAAAGCAAGCAATTTCTGTATGAGAGAGACCACACAGCAACTATGGTAAAAAAAAATATTTTTCTGCAGTTTGAACACCAGCAGCCCTGGAATTTTTTAGGAATGGTTTCATTTGTTGGTCGAACTACCACTGCTAAGATGATTTTAAATATTTCCGGGTATGTCGCTTTAAAACATTTTTAATGGGTACCTCTTTCATTTCTGCCAGCCGTATGAATAACTATGGGTTCAGCAATTTATATCCAGTAACACGAAATCCAAATTTGCGACATTAGGCTTTGAAAATCACGAACGATGCCAATTAGGTGTTTGCTCCTGTGTTTTGAACTTTCGATTTCTGTCATGAGGCAACTATGTCACTATAAACCAGTTTTCTGTATAAAAGAAAAGCAGAGGAAAACAGCTCTCATCATTTCTGAGGTATAGCAATGTTCTGACTTGAAGTCGAGTCTGGATAAATGCAGGATGGTTATACAAAATTCCTGAGGTTAGCCTTTGATGTGTCTAATCCCATTTAACCCGAATCATTAACTGGATGATTTATTTTCACACACAGGGCTACCAAACAAATTGGCAGGTTGGTTTTCTACAGAGCTTTGAGATGGCACTGACTGCAGATACCCATGCACAGACATTACATTTCATTTCTTTTTAGTGTTACGTTTTTTTTTTTTTTTATTGAACATCAGGCAAACCTCTGGAGAGAATATTCCTATTACGTGTTTTCTGAGTTGCTTTGGCACATTTCACACATCATTCTGAAGATTTGCAAAAATAGCGAATATCTCAGAACATTTAGAGAAAACAGCACAAACGAGGAACTTTCTGAAAAGTAAATATTTACACTAGTCAACAGATCTGTGAAAACCAATGCCATGTATCACGGCTACAGGAAACGATACTGAAAACAGTTTTATCAGTGTAAGAGTTTCAGATTTAAAGTTGGAAAACCATCAAAGTGACTTATGCATTTATACATTAATTTACAATTGAAAACAGATAATTACATACACAGTAACAGAAAAGAAAACGGCCATTTTTTGTCTGATCTTAAATATTTTCTGTTTTAGGGTAGATCGAAATCTACAAACCGTAATCATTAATGTATTATTCATTATTTATATTTACTAAAAGAAAGACAAATAAAATAGATATATTTTTTTAGGATTTTTTTTGTTATGTTCTTTAAATTCAGACCTTTATATTAGTCTACCTTTAAACAATTTACAAACGTTCTGATGACTAATCAACCTATCAGGAGTTCCGCAAAACAACTGGAGACACACCTGTGGATGTGTTTTGAGGTGATGACTCAAACACACCGCCTTCTTGTGTGAAAGTGAACTTAAAAAGAAATACTGCAAAATATCAGGTTGAAAACTGTGGCTCTCTGAAAGCCTGGTTCAGTTTTGGGTGCCTGAAAGTGCCGACTGCACACAAGTAAAAACAGCTTGGGGTTGTCCAGCTGGACATTGGCGTTGTCCTGAGCCCCAGAGACAAACATCTGTTTCGTTGCAAAATGTGTGAAACAATCTCTGAACAAAAGAAAATGACAATGTGAAGATGCAGGCCGAATCTGGTGAGAGGGGGGTCATTATCGACAGCAAAACAAGTCCTGTGCTGACATGAGCTGAAAGGCGGCTCTATCAGAAAGAAGCCATTACTACAAAGGCAACATAAAAATGACTTTTTGAAGCCACGTCTTGTTGTCTGAGGAAATTGAAACTAAGTAGTTGGGTCATAATTTCCATCGTCACATCTGCAGGAAAAAAGGAACAATTTTGCAACCCTAAGAAAACCATCCAAACTGTGAAGTACAGGAGTGACAGAACTGTGTTGTTGGGGGTCTTGCTGCAAGAGGTAAACATCTGAAAACAGATTGGCTCAGAAGGAAGGAACATTCTGTGAAAAATAAGGAAGCAAGATCACTAGATAACAGGTGGGAAATTAAGGCTTGAGTCAATGACCCAGAGCATACCAGCACATTAGTTAGAGAGCTTTTCAGACAACAAAAGCAGGAAAGGTCATCACAAAGCTCCGATTTCTGTCCCTCAGAAAATTTGTGGACAGGGCTGAAAATGTGTGTGAGAGCAAAGTAGCCTCCAAATCTGACTCAGTTAGGAACGGGCCAAACTTTCAAGTAGCTGCAGTAAGCAGTAGGTAACAGGATATCAAAAAAAACAAACAAACAAAAAAACAAAAAAACAAAAAACAGAAAAAAAACTAGAATTTAATGAAATTGCAGCAGTAAACGAGAGAACAGGTATGATTTCAGTACATGTAGTAGTAGCAACACTGAAGGGCTAATTTTTACCATAATTCCCAGCAACGGTGGCTCATGAAGTCCAAAATGTCGTGTGTGTCCTGTTGTTGGCTCATATTGAGGCCGGTCTGTGTTCACACTTAGAAGGGAAATGCACCAGAGTTTGTTTGGACACCACCTCAAACAGTGGGTCTAGGTCCGTTTGTTTAGTCCGCACCAGAGTTCGCTTGACTGTATTCACACCTGAACAAAAGGTTCAGACCAACGGGGGAAACATATTTCGGTCCGTTTAAAGTGGGCCGAAAGTGTCAGGTGTGAATACGCCCTTAATCTGTAAAACTGAAGTTCAAAAACACTGTAAACAAGTGTAAAGAATGTTTACAGTTGTTTGACCTTAGATAGTAGACAAGTCTTGTTAACTAAACATCTAGCATATATTTTGTCCTATTTTGTCATCTCACAGATATATATGTTTGAACATGCCACAGTAAACAACAGTGTACATTAATTCTTTCCCTCCTACTCATTCTGTGACCAAAGATAGAAATGAAACCCACCAAGTCAGTTTTTTTTTGTTGTTGTTTTTTTTTTTTTTTTTTGGCATCTTCGATTAAAATCTGGTCCGTCCCATCTGGTCCTGTCAGAGCCGACTGCAGCCGTGAGCGAACGTTTGAACAGATCCTGCTGAATTTAAATGTGTTCTGGTTGGAACTTCACTTTGCAGCTCATTTAGTTCACATTTTGGACACAATGGCATTTTGTTCTACTTTCTGTTATCACAGGGTGCAGGGCTGTTTCCGGACAGGAGGTTTATGTTCTCTGTTTGGCTTAATTTAATATGGCTGACAACAAGCATTGTGCCGTGGCGAGCTCAGCTCTGCTGTCGATGATTAAATGCCTCAACCAAGGCCTTGCATGATTGCTGGATCAAATCAGCCACGGGAAGCTTAAGATGGCTCCTTGCCGGCTCAGTGCGCGGGCCCCCCTGTGCTGGAAGTGTGAGTCAAACTCCTCATACTGCTGCCGTTCTTGATGACATAAGTGGAGGAGCCGCTCTTGTGCCTGCACTGCTGGTCGCAGCGGCAGGACGAGTCGGCCAGATAGTGTCTGCAGCAGCAGCAGAAGAAGCTCTGCATCAGGTCGTGAAACAGGTGACCAGCAAAGAACATGTAGATCCAGGGATTACAGCAGCTGTTGAGGCTAGCAAGCAACATGGAGATGATGAAGGCCATGTCTACAAGGAAAGGAAAACTACAGTCAGTCGAGAGGGAAAGCATTTAAAACAACAAACCACAACATTTTATTGAACAAAAATAGAAAAAAAACCTGCCTGTATTTCAATAACGGCAATATATAATATGGCTTGGAAATGATGGGATAGTTAACACAGAACTTATGGACACCTGTGGACTACTTAAAAAAGTATGGGTGTATGCATGCAACTTGACAGGAAAGGTAGCTAGGACACCTTATTAAACAGTTTAACAGTTCATTTTAATAAATAGTCACACTGATTTCTAATTCAACTAATTTATAATCCGCAAAAAATAAATTAAGTTTCAATTTAAGAGTATTTCATAATAGAATATAATAGAATATCCTACAACATAGAATATTCTATGTGTATATACAAATATTTTTGCATATCTAAAAATATAGACAATATGTACATATTTTTATCAAAATATATTTAAGCAAAAATAGAATATTCTACAAATATTCTTCTATTTTGTAAAATAGAATTTTTTATATTTAAAACAGATATATTTTGTAATAGAACATATACTTTATTACAAAATATATTCTATTCTATTCTATTCTATTCTATTCTATTCTATTCTATTCTATTCTATTCTATTCTATTCTCACTAAAATGTATGTTCAATATCCATGCATCTAAACATTGTAGAAAGGGTTTTGCTACTTTTTCCTCCTTGCCAGTACAGATAATCTTTGCTTTAGCTGAAAAAAAAAGAACATAACATTTTATCAACGGTCTCTGAATGTATGTTTTATTTATTTATTCGACACGCTCAGCAAAGCCCTGGCAGCTCCTCGCGCTATTGTTCAGATCTGCTGAATCAGCTTCACATGTTTAGGAAGCAGGCTGTGAATAATTTCACCAGGGTAACTGATGTACTGAAACTAATCGGTTTTAGAAAAGGCTGTAAAGGTTCTTTTCATCATCTTTAACTATTTTTGCTATATTGCTTCTTGTTAAAGCTGCTATAAAATATCCATATTCCTAATTATGTTTAATTATGTTAGAAAAAACCCCCACTGCCTTTCATCCTGGCATTAGATTTTATTTTATTTTTACAGGAATGGAAGTTCCTGCATAAAATGTGCACTGGACTATCACCTCCATCTATGCACCAGCTTGCCAGCATAGGTGGGAATCTGACTGAGTAACAAAAACTGCCTCAGAGTTACAACTCTGTTCTACATAACAGTTTGGAGATTTTGGATATATTCCTATTTTAAATCCAACAAAATGTTATCTGGACAATACAGAAACTGAATTACAGCTTTATGAATAATAATAATAAAAAAAAGCTATTTGGAAAGTGTGATTAACTTCAACTTTGACCTTTTATTTTCGTTTATCAAAATAGTGGGCAGAGGAACTTGCCCCACTGAGGAGTAGGCCTTGTGTGACCAATGGAGTCACAGTACAAAATCAACCCGCTCCAGTCCTGCATATCCTAATAAATAAGATCCCAGTAAAATACATTGAGGTCAGTGGTTGTAACCAGACAAACATTTCAGTATGTCTGCAACACAACGTCCAACAAATTAGTGCTTCTCTGACTGATACTTTTGTTTTTACTGTAGATGTTTAGCTGTGATAAAATATTCTAGAAGTAAACGTGGCTGAGCTTGTTTTAATTGCTTTAATGTATTTAATATTTGCAGATTCCACATGTACACGTGTGCAGGGCGGTGGCTTGCAGTAAAACTGGGCAGTTTTTATCTCCCCGTTTTGATATATCTCCCTTCTTGTTGGGACTGAAATCGCTTTTCATTTAGAAATATACGAACCCCCAGATTAGACACCCTCCAAAACATTCAGGATTAATAAAAAACACGAAAGGTTAATGGGTGCCGAATAGAGGATCGTCAAGCTGACACAGAGATGACAAATGGGTTTTTAAAAGAGGCCGTCCTGTAGGGGGAAAAAAAGCACCTTATTTTCCCATCCACTCAGCCGATTACATATATAGCTGCAGAGCACATTGAGGCAGAAAGTAGCTCGAACAGTGGAAAATGGACGACTTCCAAATATATATTTTTTCTTCTTCTCTGAATCGTTAATGGCGTGTGGGAGATTTAGTACTTATTGTCTTTTTCACCCCTCAAGTGCTGAGCTGCTCTTTTCCTGCCTGACTCTGACTCCCTACAGGACCGGGCTTTCTGCTCAAAGCTCTCTGCTTTGTGCTGCGTTTAAAAAATGATCCGAAAGTATGAGAGCCGTTTGTTTAAGATATAAGTTAAACAGCCTGTCCAGAGCTGAAGGACTATTTGGTGCAGGATGTCATGGAAATATGGAATGCAGTTCTTTTAAAGTCCCAAAATTGAGAGAGTGTGAAGTTTGTTTTTTGTTTTTTTTCACTCGAGCTTCTGGGATTTTATTAATAAAACAACAACATTATGGTGGGCTGTTTTTATTATTATTATTTATCTATGACTTTTAACAACTTAATGAAGGAGAAAGGGAAATCTGTTTGTTACAATTTTACCGATGTCCAGGCCATCTAATTAAGAGCTAAATTTTTCATAATTTGATCAAAAACATTCACCTATTAAACTTGCACCCATCTCAACAAAGAGAGGAAAAACTTCAAAGAATCTGCAGTAAATTTGAAAGCACAGGCTCAGTTATTTGCACTTCTGCACCAAGATTTAAAATGAGACCTACTTTTGAAATGTCATGAGGAAAGATCTCATAAACTGGTTAAATTGCATCCACCCACTGTCTATACCCAGTTGGAAACCTAGCCAGCAGTCATGTTCTTATTCTGTGGAAGGAAGCTGGAGTACCCAGAGAGAACCCAAACGTGTGCAGGGAGAACATGCATTTCCATTCAGAAAGACCCCGGGCTGGGATTTGAACCCAGGACCTTTTAATGCGAGCTGACATCTACCAACACTACTTTGTTTGTTTTCCTAAAGTAAATGTTTGCAGGACAAAGCAGAATAAAATACATTGATTGTATTGGGTGAATGTTTTGCAACCACAGAATTTATATTCATGCTTAAATTTTCTGACTTATTAGTATGAAATTTGTTTTGATAGAACGACTGTCACAAAAACGTATTTATAGTAATTAATTTGCATGGACAGATTAATTTGATAATATATGTAGTTTCTGTTTTTGTAATCCACAAAATAATAATGCAGCAGTCCAAGTTATACACTTGCCCTCTATATTCAGACAGTTATTTCTTCACAGCCTCAGAGCAGAATGATGAAAGCAATGAGGTATTTAATGTCCTGCCAGAGGGTATTTTGAAGTGTGGAGAGTCTCAATAACTAATCTATTTTCTACTAAGTCTTCCACATGCAATTATAGACAAAAAGGACACACTCCCAACACAGATATATCTCAAGATCCCCATTGAATTGGAGTTTTAATTAGTTTATTCAAAGAAGAAAGCACATTTTGATTTGCATTCCAGACGCCTCATGATTCAAGAAAAAAACTAAAGGTGATGAGGGTTTTTCAGTAGCTGCCCAAAGTCTGTTTAATGGTTTGTATCAAAATATGCACTGCAGAGACTGTACAGACTGTTAATCTCTTTTTAGTCATATTTTTTGGGGGGCTTTTACTTCAAGTTGAGTGTCAGACCTCAAGAGAGTTTATGCGTCATATAGAATTAGTTCTTTTTTTAATTTATGCATGTTTAATTTTGTTTTAGAATATTTTCAATGCATTTCATGTCTTGTCTCTCTTGGCTGTGAAGTGCTCTTTTAAACATTTGTTGTTTTAAAATATACTATATATAAATAACATTGACATCAAACCTGAGGAGCAAAATGAATGATTTTTGTGTGCTGTATGATGAACTTGCAACCTGTTCAGAAAGTAGCTAATCTCTGGCACAATGGAAGCAGACATATAGGACAGAGATAACAATAAACAGGCAAAGGAGGCCATGAGAAATTGGTCCACTATCTTATTCTGCAAACTTGGGATTTTGTGGTGAGACATTATGACATCAGATCATTTATTAGTAAAACACAACATTGCTTCCCGTAAAAGTCACATTCGTAGCAGAAAAGTGCAATCCGGTTAGTCAATATGTGATTTTTGTCTGGTGAAGAACAGTTAAGCCTAAAATTATTCATACCTCTGGCAAATTTAGATGTAAAATAAATTAAATTCAACCCACAAGTTCATGTCTGGTTGAAAATGGGAAATAAAACAAACGTAGTTAAAGAAGTATTAGTTTATAGAATATGTTTTTATTTATCTTTTGTCATCGATGCTTATTCATAGCCTTCTCAACAATCATAGGAAAAATATTTACTGGCATCACAGGAATCAAGCTCTTCTCATCATTACTGTCCATCTTTTTGCCTGTTTCCACTGTTTTATCATTAATTATGAGTCTTTGAGGTTAGAAGGCCTGCCTGTCATCACCCTAATCTTTAGCTCTCTCTGCACATTCCCTATCAGATTCACGCCGGGACTCTGACTGTGTCTCTTTCCAAAACGTTCATATTTATTCCAGTTAGAAAAAAAAAGATTTCTTGAAACCAAACTCTGCCAGGGGTTTGATGAATTTTCACTGGTGTAGGGTTTCTTATCAATAAACTGATTACTAAATGAATATTGGCCAATTGGTTTATTTATTCTCAGTAGATCAGTATACAAGCAGACATGTAATGGACAAACAAAGCCGTCTAATTTGTTTTGTTAGACAATAAACAACCTCAAATGTAAATGAATTTACATTAGCAAAATCAAATGAGAAAAAAAAATGGAGCCTCTTTTTCATCAATCAAGCTGCCGAACATCATCAGTGTTTGGATAATTTTTTTTTCTGTTTTTTTCTTGAAGATGGAGTCGGATTGTGGCATTTTCAGTTTTTCATCAGGTTGCTGTGTCACATCTTCCTACCCGTACTCAACTAAATTGTCTTGTGAGTCTGAACTGCAGTTTGCTCGTCATGCATCATTGTTCATCATTGCTCGTCATTCACAATCCAAAATACAAGCCTGACATATTTAAATAATAAACAGAAGTTTTAAAAAAAATAAAAAATTCTAATATTTATGAAACCTTTATTCTACTTGTACAAACTGAAAAAAGGGGGCATTTTGATTCTTTTCGGACATTAGGAGCACCAAAGTGCTGGACTGGACCATACAAGACTGATAGTCATTAAAGTATTTGTAAAATATAAATAATAAAAAAAGAATGCTCAAAAGAGACAATTCTTAATTTTCTCAAAAATATGATCAGAATCTCATCTTGTTCTTGGGGAACCAGTATCAGGTATCGTCACATCTTATGAGTTTGATGTATCTTTATTCTCCTCCTGCAGACCTGAAATGATTGTAACATTCATAAAAAAGGCAAAAGAGGAAAGACTATGTCTGCAGGTCTTTCAGAAACTATGGACTTTAATTGAAAATATTTCGTACATAGAGGAAACTAGGATGCTCCTGTTTTAGGATGGTGTAAAGCAATCATAAGTCTATTTAGAATGAACTCTGAAAACTAGATTTTATATTTAGCTTCATAAGGGCAAAAAAAAAAACCTCATTGTCTGTTTGCTGGAGTTACTTTTTAAGATAAAAAGATGAACTGGCTTAACCTGACAAGAAGTCATTTATTTTACTGTGCATGTTTTAAAAACAATAATTCAAAAACAACATGAGCAACTTGAACTTTGTTGAGCACCTAAAGCCAACAAAACACAGGTGTAAAGAGCATACACACCATCATTTTGGAAATGTTTGTACAACCGAATATGTCATGATGATTGTTGTTCCCAGTTTTATTGCACATCTTGAGTTTTTATAGGTTATCTTCATTACAACGATATTACTTTGTAGATGTTGTGTATTTGCATTATTTTTTTGAGTCTGCAAAAACAACAACAACAACAACAACAACAACAACAACAACAACAACAACAACAACAACAACAACAACAACAACAAAAACTTTTGGCACTAATTTGAACAAGCAGGACAACAATAGAAAGGAGGATAGTCTATTTTTAATCCAAGACAAACTATTAATCTGGAACATGATTTTTTTTTAAATACTACATTTTGAAAGGATTTACTGGTTGTTGAAACACCAAAGCAGTTTTTCTAAAACTGAAAATGGGAGTAAAGACGATGCACGGCTTCAAGCAAGTCAACAAATCATGCCTCATATTAGGATACACAAATAATTTTGTGCAGCTCTTCAGATATTTATAACATAATAATTTTGAAACTGTTTAATATATAAATCTGTAACAGAACAAGAACTTATGGGACTTTCCAAAGTGGTTCAATTTAAAGGTTGTGGAGCACATCTGCTTTGCTGCTCATGTCCTCTTTAATAGCAAACTAACCAGAAAAGGAGACGAAAATATGAAAAAAAAAAGTTTAAATTGATATTATATAAGCTACTACTTGAAACAGAACCTTTTTGATGCACTGGTTCCCAGTGGTTTTAAAGACTGATAAAGGTTGTAAGTGACATTCTCATTCATCTGGTTTCACTCCTGGGAAGTCTGGATTTGATCATCTTTGTGCAGTTCTCAGAGAAACAGGGGAACGTTCATGCATTCCAAGAGATATTTCTGACAATGACCTTTGCATGCAAAAAGCATTTAGTGCTGAAATATTATCTGCCAAGGGTTTATGGACAACACATTTCCAGTGCCATGAATCAAAAATGAATACAAGAGTCTGCTTCTTGTGCCACAAAACACTTCCTCACACAGTAGCAGGGAAATAAAGCTGTCAGTCAGTGTATTCAGTCATTAATATATCTACAAAATGCTGTATTTATCTTCTATCTCTTGTATCTTTTTGGAAAACAGACAAATGGGATTTTACCTTCTCTTGGTGCAGCAGGATCCCATGCAGACCACATCTGGACAAAGAAAAAAGGAGTCCAGCACACAATATATGCAATGACCACCACAAATGTCATTTTCACGGTGCGGATCTTGGCTTTAGAAATGAGTCTGACGCTGCTCACGCGTGACAGTGGATGTGCGCCCTTGGATGGCCTCGGCGTGAGAGCCAAAAAGTGCTCCCTCCTGGTTTTCATGTTGATATTCTGCCATATTTTAAAGCATATGAGGCCGTAGCAGATGCTTAATATCGCAACTGGAAGAATGTAAATGCTCAGACTCATCCATGTGATGTAGGTTTTGGCACCCCAGGGTTCCACGAAGTCCCCCCAACAGTCGTAAACGCCATTCCCGACCTCCCTGAGAGAAAAGATGTAGGCTTGTGGGGTACTGAACATAAGACTGAGGATCCAAGATGCGATCACACAGAAGCGATCTTTCCCCTTGTGCACCGAGCGAAGCGGCTGGCAGATCGCTAAGCATCTATCGATGGACATCAGGACCAACATGTAGGTTGACGCAAACATGCCAACAACCTGGAGGTATTTGACCAGCCTGCAAAGGAAATCAGGTCCATAAAAGCGGAAGGTTATGTCCCAGATGAGCTGCGGCAGGACCTGGAACACCGCCACGACAAGGTCTGCGATGCTCAGGTGCTTCATGAAGTAATACATCCGAGAATGGCTGTGCTTGGTGGTGTGGATAGCCCACAAGACGCACAGGTTGCCGGTCAGAGCGAGCAGCAGCACCAGAACCAGGACAGTAACTTCCACTTTGGCTACTTCTTCGTTTCGCTTTAAAGGGTTTACCGTGTTGTTCCCCACATTGGTGCTATTTATATGACTGGAGTTGTACCAGGAAACGTTCTGAGCCCAGGCATCCTGTGCGCGTAAAAGTTCCTCCATCGTGCGCACCAGCGTCAGATTTTGTGCAGTCAACGGTCACATCACACACACGGAGTTAGGGCTGCAGTCAGTCGATGTAGATTTTAGATGTCATCCATTAAAAGTATGGCTGAATCTCCCAAAAGTTGGGCTGTCGTCTGTAGGAGAAACAACGAGATTAAAAACTTTCATTGCTTCTGACTCTTCAAAACCAAATCAAGAAATGTATACAAATAAATAAAATTAAGAATTTGTGGTAAAAAAGAAACTCACCCGGGAGATAATCTGCTGCGTTTCTTTCTTGTGATCTGCAGTCTGCCTCCCTCTCTCTCTCTCTGCGTCCAGCTGGATCTCTGATCTGTTCTGGTCTGTGCATCCCACCACTGTATGTGCAGATCCCCTTCCCTCTTTTTATTTTCCCCGGAAGGAAACTGCCTTGGTTGTGCACAGTCGTCACATTACTTCACGCTGTGTTATTTCAAATCTACTGACCCTGTTTGTGTCCCAATTTAAAAAAAAAAAAAAAGTGGGCTACTGTATACGACATTATACCTCTCTATTGTTACCTATCCGCAGCCCCCAATTATTAACTGGTGAAAAGTAAAACAAAAAAAGATCTCTGAGCTTTTGATGCTACTCACTTTTAATGTGCATCATGTGACAAATGAGAACAGGACAATGTCTATATGTGCTATTTAATGTTTATTTCATTAAATTTTGCTCTGTGACCCTAATGATAAATACTAAATCTCAGGTAGAGGCTTATATTTACAGTTAAAACTCTAACATTACAGACTTGGGACTATAATCTCTACAAGATAGCAAAATAAATAAATAAATAAATAAATAAATAAATAAATAAATAAATAAATAAATAAATAAATAAATAAATAAATAAATAAATTTACTTCAATCTTTATAGTTGTTATTGTTGTCATGCAACAAAATTGTGAGGCCACTTTGATTATAAACATTTTTAATTTTGTTTTCATGAGTTATATAATCTGAACTAAATAAGTACATAAATAAATGTGTTTTCTTGCTTAGATGTATCAGTGTGCATTTCTGAATCTGAAATATCCCAGTTACAGATAATCACATGTCTTCAATTATGTTAATGTTGTATAAAACAGATCCTGTTGTCAAAGTTGACCCTAATTGTGACCTAAGATGAGCCACAGGCACGGGGACGATCTCCACTTCCCTTTCATGTTATTTTTCTATATTCTCGTTTATGTGAGACCACTTTAAGCTTATTGCTACAAATCATTAAATTACTTTCTCAGTGTGTCTTTATAACTTTAACAAATCACAACTGGGTCTGTTTACTGTTGCCCTACCTCCATGTCAAATGGCATTCCAATTAAAATTAAAGAGATATAATTAAAAAAATATAAAAAGGAAAAAGATCCCTTAATCAGACTGAAAAAACTGATATTGTAAGAAAATCTATCAAAACAAAAATCTGTGAAAGTGCTGAATTTATTTAATTTTTCTTTTACTTCTAATAGTTATTCTAGACACAGTGAAAAGTATACATAGTCCTTTAAATTCTTGAGTTGTATGCATTTTTTAATGTCTGGGAGTGTCTTGCATGTTTTGTTTTTTTTTTCTCATTTTGAGTAATTTATATTTAGCTGCATTGTGGAATCTTTAGGGTGTGGCCATTTACGCTTGAGGTTAAATTTGTATAACTTTAGGATCTGGTAAACACCAGACATATTATAGTTAAAAAGACTGAAAATGTCTCAAAAGAGGAAAACGTGGTACATCTCTTGGGTCATGGCTGTGGTTTGAGAACGTGCTGAAAACATATCTTAGTTTAAATTAACGATAAATTTTGCTTAATTTTTAAAGCTTAAACAGCTTTTCATGGTGGATTCTGGCCAAGTTCGGATGCAGCAAAACATCCCCAAAGCCAAGACATTTACATCACTATGCCATGCAGACTGTACAACATTCATTTTCTGACCACATTTGATTCATGCCTAATATGTTCCATGTTTTTGGTGTCAAAATGTTCAATTTTGGGAATGCGTGCATTGAATGTTCTCCACTTGTAGACTATTTTCCATAGAGTGGCATGGCTGATTTTAAATTGTTTTGAGACTTCTTCAAGTCCCCCACCAACCTCAAAAGCTGCAGCAATCTTCTTTCTAAAGGCCTCAGCCCTTTCAGTCTGACCATGGTGCTCATGCTCATAAGTGTCAGTAGTAAACAAATCTGAATGTCTGAGGTTTAAATGGCAAACTGCCTTCAACATGGTGAGTAACAAACTTCTTATCATGCGGTCCTCTGTAATGCATCTTGGTGAGAATAAATGTGGGGGGTGTCCTAATTTATTGTTAATCTGAAATGCAATTTTCATTACATTTTATACAAAGTATGAACATGTCTTTTCTTTGGGTTTTATTGTCTGTTTTCTGCTCATCTTTCAGTGTCAAAGCAATGTCATATATCCACATGTCCAAATATGTCAGAAAAACAGAGGCTGCGGCAGCGTGTCACGGTTTTTCACATAAAGGTAGGCCAACTTTAGCTGTGAACATGTGAACATCACGCCTTGTACAAAGTCACTGAATGTAAGTTTTCTCCAATTCATTTGACACACTCAGCTGAGCATTTGCAGGTGCTGCATTGTGCTGAATCATCCTCGAATGTTTAGGAAGCACGCTGTGAATAATTGAACCACACTTACTGCTTGGTAAACAATTTCTTTTTGATTTTATTCTTGAACACTGGAAGGCTAAAACTTCTGCATGAAGTCACACAGACTACAAAATCTGATTGTCGAAAAGAAATAATGTGCACACAGATGCTGCGTTAGATTTGTAATGTAGTTACAGTTTTGTTTTTGCTTAATTATAACTGAACAGATGCTGCTCAAGCTATCGTGCTTGAAAGTCTTTAAAAGAGGTAATTAAAATAATTGCTTTATGTTTTATATATTGTGGCTCAGTGTATGTTTATTCTTTTAATCTCTTAATCGCTAAACAACTTGCCTTATTGTACTTCCAAACTGTAGCTTTTGGAGTAAACTAATAAACGTTATTCAGGCTTGATGTGTTTGCGTATAAATAGCTGACTAATTAACAACAACATAGGTAATTATTTTAAAAATGATACATTAGAAAACATAAAAGTACATCTCCATAAGTTTGAGTAGGCATTGGCAGATTATCAAACCGATCTCCATCTCCTGCCATGGGTCCAGATGAAGAAGTTTCATGAATGCGAGAATCACCTTCATCACAACAAACATCTCTCTGCTCGGTTTTTCTTTACAGAAGAATTACGACTAACAATCGCCTTCACTCCGAGGTCAACAAATTCATCCTTTATGTTAAAACGGAACAAAAGCAGGAATCCAGGCTGTTGATAACCTACATACATCTGGATGTAAAGTTTAGTTTATGCTCCAAACAAGCATGTCCTCAATCCCAAACTTGTGAGCTAATAAATGAATTAATATTTAACCCATGTAAGAGTTCTCTGTTCTCTGCTAGATACTGCACGCCACAAATAAGAACCTGACTGAGCCGACAGTTTCGGGTTAATCCTAATCAAAGAATGCATTTTAAACCAATATTAAACATCGTATCTACTAACTAGAAGACTTGATAGCGGAATATTTTTTCAATATGTGAAAATGCTGGTTGTAAATGGGCTCATTAAGGCGATATGTAGTTTGTATTTGGGTCCACAGGACCCTACCTGGGAAGTAAAGACACAGTGTGTGAGCACAGTAATAAAAACTGGGTGTCAGACCCAGTAAGGAGTCATTAGATGGGTGGTTATATTAAGCCGTAATGACTTCATGGCCCCGAGCAAGCCACTTAGTTTGTTTACGCTGCAGGCTGGGCCCGAGTGTATTTACCAAAGGGCTGTTTTTATTATTCATCCAAAAACATCTAAGGGCATCATTGCGGCTAAGTGCTTAAAACATAATGCAATGGTAGGTGTCGGCCTTGTCTGAGGCATTTTCATTGATCCATATAGTTCTGCACACACCTCCAGTGGCACCAGGAGGTCCATTGTGTGTTGATTTTTCCTAAGATGTGTTAGGAGAAAATTAATAATTATCTGTAACTCAAAAAATGTTTGCAACAGTAGAAAGTAATTAAATGAAGGGCATATAAGGAGTTGATTTATAAAACCCCTCACAGACTAACAACACCTCCAGCAATGTATGAGAATAAGCTGAAAGTAAAACAAAACAAAAAAAATGCCTGGACAAGTATTTCAGTCATACTTGTTATGTTCTGGTGATTTATTGTGAGATGATATTTTATTAGATGCATTTGTGGCTTAAAACAAAAGTTTGCATTTAGACAAATATATTGAAATCTTACAAGGTGAGTGTGAGTGATAAGCAGAACCCTTATTTCTTAGAAAATATTCTGTATAACTTTTCAAATTCTTGCACGTGTAGTTCAGCAGATTTATGCTGAGCAGACGAGAAAGAGACAATTGGTTGAGATTATCTTAGAATTAAAAAGTACAATGAACAACAAAGGAAGATTTTTATCACTCATATTCATTTAATCATGATTATATGGCTACTGGAAATAATTTTTTAAATACATTTAACACATTAGATCAAGTGATTACACGTGAATGCGATGAAGTACATTTTAAAGTCACATGTGACAAAAATAAACCTTTTTTTTTAATGCACTTGCTCTGTAACACATGCATGCAGACGGAAAACATGCAAACTCTATGCAGAGGAACTCAGGCTGGGTTTCAAATCCAAGAAATTTTTGCTGAAAGGCAGCTTCTCCAACACCATATACCATTTGGGCATGCTACAGTGAAAGCACACAGATTTAAATCCTCAACTCGTCTCAGGTATTGGCCTGGCTGGATATTTGCTGAGTAGTTTCATCAGAATTTGTAGCTTTCTTTCAAAATTGTCAAAGGCTTTCTTGGCATATACTCAGCTTTTTATCACTTTTTTTACACAGCTGAAAGTGGAGCCATTGCAGAATCGTGGTTTATTTATTCTTACAGCAGTTTTCATGTGTCTGTGGGATCCTTGTTCTGTTGGAAAACTCCCAATGTGTTCAAGTTTAAACCACTGATTTGAGCTGAGGTTGAACAATTTAGAGATTATCCTTCTTTTTCATTATCCACTCCAATTTTGTATTGCACCATGCATCTGTGAGTGATTCAGTAGCACGGTTTGATGCTACCACAATAGTTCATGCAGCGTCCTAAGGTTTGAAAGAGCTATTCCGACTCGGGATCAAAAACACTTTCACCAGATGTCATTTCATAGTCTGTGTGGTCACTATGATTTAAGGCAGGAACTTCATTCTTAGTGGGTGCTCTCTAACTTTTTTCTGATGTCAAACTCATTTCACTGCAGCCAAGGGGAGTGGTGTGTCTGCATCCTACTGTGTACGATAAGCTTGAATCTCGGTGGTTACTGGGGAGCTTTTATATGCTCATACCAGTTATCTTTCATGTCAGTTTGGGTCAGATTGTCATGAATTTAGGGCACTGCCGTGTTTGTGTGGTGCTTTTTTTCCTGTCTGTTGATTCAATCAGGAGGATGTGGATGAGCAGGCAGCAGCTGGCTCACAAGTGCTTAAACACCTCATTAAGCTGACAGACTGACTCTTTGCCTAAATGCCAACATAGTAGTCGCACCAGGCCGATTTCTAACAGACTGTTTTTCCATGGTTCCTGGTCCTTACATCAAGTTATTTTCAGTGTTTATAGTCAGCTTTAGAAAAGGAAGCTGTCCATGCCAAACCAACACAACAACACCCAGCATCACAACCTGCATGCCCAACTTCCNACAATCTTCG